CCAGGCGCCTGGATGGGCTGCAGCACCACTCGGGGCCTGGGGATCCGCGTCCTGGCCACCGCCGAGCCCTGCCTGCCCAGCCTGTCCATGTCCGGCGGGGAAGGGGCGCAGTGCTCAGTCCATCCACGCCGCACCAAGCCCAGGAGCCTGAAAGCGATTGCTGAGAGCTGCTCCGTCAGCTGGCAGGTGTCACCGACTGGCACTGCACCCAGCCTCTCCTCCCTGCACACCCACAGGACACGGAGCAGAAGGCACCACCGGCACCCCTGCGACTCTCCAAGGCCAGGGGCTGAGCTGCTCACGCCTGAAGGGCAGCACTGAGGCAGCGGCCGGCGCTCAGAGGACTCAGGGAGTAGCGAGGAGTTGTTGCCAAGCCTGTACCGAAGCTGAAGGTTGCTAAATATTAACCAGAGTCACAGCCGTGTGAGAGGAGTAACTCCCACAAGCAGCGCTGGGAAGGAGGAGCCACACACGGGATTTGCTCTGCCAAGCTACGCTCCTCAGTAACAGCTCCTCAGGAGTAAGAGAACATCAAGGGGAAAAAAAAAAAATCTGCCTGGGTGTAGGGTGGAAGGGAGGCAGCAAATAAAAAGCAGCACACCAGCACCAACAAACAGAGCGCTTACAAGAAAAAAAAAAAAAGCCAGGTCAGCAAACCCTGCCGTAGCTCAGCACTGCGTAAATCACAGCTTTGTGGAAGACACCAGTGTTGAAAGAGCAGCACAAACCCAAACCACCTACAGAGGGTGTTTCGCAAGATGCAGATCCCTATTTAAGATCTCATCAACAAGCCATACACAAATGAGCCAAGGGTTAAAGCCCTTTCTCTCTGCTGTGCCCACAAGGCTTTATTCCTATTTGTTATTCCCATTCTCCCCACCAAACCCCCTCTCACAGCGTTTCTCTTCCCTTCCCCTGATATTTATCGTCCTCACTCCTGCAGCTAAGGCAACAGCTGACTTATTTGTTTAAAGTTTCCTTAATGAAGCCATGCAAAGCGATTTCGCCCAGGTAATAACGCGCTGGGTTCCCCATGCTCCCAGCAGGACTGGCTCCATGGTCAGCCTGCTTTGCCTGCCACAGCCTGAAAGGGCAGCAGCAGCTGCTCCAGACAGCCCCTCATGAAAGCATGCAAAGAAGCTGTCCCAGTTTAGTTCCCGACCCATTAATGCAGCCCTTATTTCAGCCACTGCTTTAGTCTAGACACTTTAACCCCACCTCACAGCTGATCTGCCCCAGCAGTAACACCACCCTGCCACCCCAATCCGTGCCAGGACCCATGAGCAAACAGCCTGACAGCTTGGTTTTGGGGGAAGATCAGCCCAGATAGCTGGGGTTGGAGCTGGCTGCCTCTTCCCAGCACACCCCGGCTCTTGCACACACATCCCATGTTAAATTTCTTATTCAGCTTGTTCACCACAGGTGGTCCTCGTGAGTAGCACAAGAGATCGAATTCACAACGCAGGCTGTCTGTGTGGCTTCTCCCACACCAAGATAAGGCACAGACGGCATCAGCCTGGGAGAATTCCAGCTTGGGAAAGCCACAGCTGCAACAAAAGCCCATCCACGAGCTGCAGCTTGCACAACAGCTCTGAATTACACGTGGGCAGCGCTTTGTAAGAACGCACCCAATGCAGAGACCTCCCGAAGGTGCAAAAAGGCAGGGAAACCTTCTTACCCTCCCGCTCAGGCTCACAGGCCAAGGGGTGCTGCAGAGCCAGGTGTGACAGGAGGAGGCACCGCGTGTGAGCACAGCCTGCCCGGCATTCGGGACAGGAGAGCAAGGAGTGGCAACACCGGGCAGATTTACGCAGCCCCTCCAAAAGGCTTCCCACCAAGCACACCTTGCCCTAAGCCTCGGTTGCACAAAAGCACACAGAGGCTGCCAGAACTGGGGGCAGATGACGCCAGCCTGTAACTGCGTTTATTTTATCCCTCAGCTGTTTTCCTTCTCATTACATCGCCTTTAAGAACTGCAGCCAGATGCTTTTACTTTTTGGTAGGTTTTCAGACAGACCGGCTCTGTCAGGCGCGAGGATGAGCCAGCTCCATCATCACAGGCCTGTTGCAAAATTGGGGAGAATTTAAAGCATACAGGATGAGAAGAGAATTCTTTAATGGGACGTTTAATTGCTCACACAAAGCAGCGTGCAAGCACTGCAGAAAAATCAAGATCTCACTGACTGAGGTGCGCACACAGCAGCTGTACCTCCACTACTGCCTTTCGCACCTTCCCTCCTGTCTGGGCTCCAGCTCTTTGTGGTATTTGAGAGAAGCAGCAAGTTTGTTTCCCATTTTGTGAGAAAGGGGGAAGAATAGGACAGAGGGGCCAGATGAGCCTGGAGTTGAAGATGGACCGGATCAGGCTAAATATTCCAACCCGGGTTTTAAGCTTTCATTCACCAGGAAAGACTTCCTGGTGGCATTAAAGATGAGCCAAGCTCACCGGGCCGGGATCACCTTACTCACGCATGGGAACAAAGAGACGTACCAGTGCTCCCAGCAGGCACAGTTAGTTCCAGTGACTCACTGGTACAAGCCCAGCACTGCCAACAACACTGCTTTAGTGCAGGGCTTTGTTCTGCAGGGACCTGTGCACCCTGCCAGACTGACATGACTTGGCTTGCTCAGGAAACCTTTTTTTTTTCCAGGACCAAAAAAAAAAAAAGGAGTGGAAACATCCCACCCACTTTCGGATAGTCGGGAATTTCAGCTGAGCAAAGCACGTGATGCCTGGAGACCTGAGGCCAGGGTCTGAGTCTGGGAGGGCTGCACCAAGCTTTTGCCCTGACAGAGCTGGCTGTCAGCACCTGCAGGTCGGTTTCAACACATGCTCACGAGCTGCACTGCGAGAACTTAGGGCAGCATTTCATCCCCAAATCAAACCTAAGTCAAAGGCACTACTACCTGAAGAAGAGCAAAAAGCCTGAATGCAGCTGAAATCCCTTAAACACCATTCATTTTCCTTGGGGAGGTTCATTTTTATGGAATCCAGATTATTAGGAAAACCTGAAAATAATTTATCCCCCTCCTCCACTCCATCACGTACCAAGGAAATCCCCAGGCAGCGTTACCCACCCGCCACGCGGAGCCATTACACTTAGCAGATTATTCCAGTTTCTGGAGCCACCAGGGCTGTGCCATTACCCAAGCCCCAGCTTGCTCACAGCCTGGCAGGGAGGCAGCACCCAGGCTGTGCCCGGGGGCAAAGCGTTCGGCTGCAGTCACGGCTGTGCACCAGGCCCCAGCTACCAGCAGGCAGCCTCACGCAGCCTCACTGCCCTGCCCTGGGCTGCAAGATCAAGCAAACATCTCCCAGCCAGCAAGAAACGCAGCACTCAGACCCTGGGAGGTGCCCCAGCTGATGATTTTACTCCGCGGTGCAAGACGCAGCGTTGTCATCTCACTGGGAAAGCTCCCCAGCACCCACTGGTATTGCTGCATCAACCCAGGGAGTGACGGAGGTCCTGGCCCTCCAGTGCTGCCCCTGCCCCGCTGCTCTGAGGATGGCTCAGAGCCCGTAACAAACGGCTCCGACCCCACTTACTGTAAAACAGCCACGAGCTCCGTGTCACGGCACGTAAGCTGCTTTGCTGCGCCGAAGGGTTGCAGCAGAGGATTAGGGAGAGCTTCAGGCGGTGGGTGAGCAGCAAGAGGGGATGATTCCTAAGCAGAGCTTGTTTGCACACAAATAGCTATCAGTCTTCAACTAAAAATAAATAAAACAGGTACCAGCGTGGAGGCGATGCTGCAGTGGAGCGGGACGAGCAGGCAGAGGCAGAGCCACTCAGGCACACCCCAGGCAGCAGCAGCAGCCCCAGCCCCGAGCAGAGATCCCCACGCTGGCCATGCCAGGCTGCACGGCCACCTCCTGCTCCTCTCTTCTTACCATACATTGAAACCGTGCACAAGAATGAGCGGATTAGGTGCGAGAAACTGCAACGTGGAAGCCATAAAAATAAGTTCAGCAGATTTCCTACAAGCGCCAGTACCCACAAGGTTATTTGCAGGCAGTTCACCACCACCTCGCCTTGAGGATGAAGGCAAAAGGCAAAGAGCAGCCAGGGGCCTGCAGCCCGAGCCAGCCTGCCACAGCTCAGGGGAGGAAAGGAGGAGGAAGAAGCCAGAGCTTTTTACGCACGTGTATATTTAGATAAGTGAATTGCAATGTTGTTTAAACCTAATTACTACTGTAAATGTAATTTAAACCACCCAAAACATTTCCACTGCTGAAGGAAGAGCTGTAACAATAGGAGGAAGTGCTAAGACACAGCAGCTATTCTTAATGCACAAAAACACTTATTCTGATGAATAACCAGGGCCTATTTACCTACTCAACTTGAATGTGCTTCTGCCTCCTGGGCATTTTCAGACAGCAAAATTAGAAACCTTCACTGGTTTGCGAGGCTGGCCTTGTTTGCCTCCCCGTTCAAACACACGCCTGACACCTACTGGGTGCCATGCCTTGCAAAAACCCTCTCCTCCCTTCACACCCCTCCCTCTGCTTTCTGCAGATTGGGTTTCCTTCCTATTTGGGGAAAGGGATGGGGCAACAGCTGCAAACAGGGGGGCCAGAAAGGGGCTCCCTCACTCTGCCGCCCCAGTTCTCAGCCCCACGCCGTGATGTGCTAGGCTGTCACCTTGTTTATTTCCTCCCCACAAACTCCCCGTGAGTCAGGGTGCTGACAGGCATCCCACGGGAGTTCGGGCCCCAGGAATGCCAGGCAGCCACTCTCAGAAGAGGTGCACATGGCACAGCTCCACGGCCGGCACGGGAGCAAACGCTTCCGAGCTACCAAGGCGATGAGACACTGAACAACTGATGGCCTGACTCAGGCCAGCCAGAGCTTCCACACGGCTGCTGAGACAATGGGAGGGGAAAAAAGCTTGGTTATTTTGCTCGTTTGGACCAATTTTACGACCTTACAAGATTTAAACCTCCCCAGAAGTTTTTATAAATAATAAAATATTCCTAAATAATGAAAACTGAATCCACTTACCCAGATGCTCCAAATTCTTTCAAGGTCCAAAGGAGAACAGCTACCGCACAGGTCCCTGCATACTCCTGGACACAGGGCGTTTGCTTCGGAATCGAATGCCCCTCTGCTCACGTGCGGGTCTCTCGCCTAGGAGCAAAGAAAAGCTCCCGAAGGCTGTCAGGGGGCTCCCACCTCTCAGGCTGCAGTTAGGCGGAGCTTGCAGCCAGCCTGCATTGCCCACCCTCTTGCACTGGCCTGGGAACCCCTCCCTGTGCTGGTCCCCAGCACGGAAAAGTGAGAGCAGAGGCACTGCGTTAGCAGCACCGTCCCTGCCAAGGGCTGTGGGGGACAGCACGAAACTCCCCTCTTGAAGGGAGCAGCGTTTTTACAGATCCCTCTCACTCAGTTCCAAAATAAAAGGAACGTGTAACCCAGCCTAGGAGCAGAAGTTTTTAATTAGTAGGCAGACAATAGCGAGTGTCAATTATTCCACCCATACCCAGCCGCTGTGCCGGTACTCAGGAGTGCCAGCATTTGCCCCAGCAGGCTTCTGTTCGACTTTGTCACCCCTGTGACAGGTCTGCTGGGAGAAATCCAAGCTTGTTTTCTGCGTGGAGGGATGAGAAGCACGCCACGGGTTGTATTTCTGGACATTCCCCTCCTCTGGAAGGGAGCTGGGACAGAAACAGAACTGGGACGCTTCTTCAAAGGCTCGGAGGTTAAACCCAAGCCAGCTGTCACCACGTGTGCCATACAGCCACCACGCGGAGCTTGCCCGTACTTGTTTGGTCTATAAACGATGCGACAGCTGGAACGGGGCTCGTGGGGAATGCTGGAGCCAATTTCACAACGCAGCCACTCCGATGGAGCTGGTCGCAGGCAGGGCTTCCTTAGCTCACCAGGGGCGGGTCAGTTTTTCCAAAATATTCACGACAAAGTTTCATTACGTGAGTCTTTACGAAAACTAGAAGATTGCGGCCGTGATTTAGGACTTGAGGGGAACAAAGAGCTTGCCAGACCTTGCCAAACTGCTTTGTAGGGCAGGATTTAGAGAACCACCCAGGGCAGGTGGGGTTGGCTGCGCACTGACCAGCCCAGGAGTCGGGGAGAGCCAGCAGAGCCTACACACACCTTGCTTTGCTCCTGCTTCCTTGCTTTTGCTTCCTTTGATCCAGCTGAGTTGGAAACTAAGAACATTTCATAAAAGTAAACCTAAAGACATGCACACAAGCGCGCGCACACTGCACTGTGTTTTAACTCAGTTGCAGCAAGCCCAACGGGCTGTTAGAGCCAGCCTGAGAGCCGCGGGTCCCAACACCGGGCTGGGCCAAGCTGCCACGCTGGGAGGTGTAAGTACAGCAGCTTGCCCCAAAGCCTTTCGGGCAGAGCCATCAGCACCTGCAGGGCCTCGGGCGTCCCGCTGCAGTGCGGGAGGTGCAGGCACCGTAACGGAGGAGAAGGGCGAGAGCTCCCAACATCAGCCGGGAAACTGGCTCGCTCATAAGCACGTGAGCTGGTGAGTTTGTGAAGCAATGGAGCAATGGATTAGGAAATGCACAAGGTACACCAGTCTCGGGCTGAGCCTTTGTTGGATTTTACCCAAAGAGCTCATGAAATGATTGATTCGTATGGCACATCGTCCTGTAGACGAGAGGGCTAAACAAACCGTGCCGCTTGACTCGGTGTCACTGCCAGACATGCTCACGTAAGGCTAAACAATATTCCTAGATCCACAGCTAGCAACCACACTTCTGGACCTTCACAAAGAGCAGCTTTTCCTTGCCACCTGCTTTGTTCCCACTGGCAGCGTAACCCACCACAGAACTACACAAACCTCCCTAACTGAGCTAACAAAACCCTCAAAGAAGGAATTCTCCTCGATCCTACTTCTTAATTTGGCCTTGGCTCATTTTTGTTTTCCAGCTAACGCATCCCGGCCGCCAGCCTGAGCTTTGCAAAAAGCTTTTTCCCCAACATCCTGGTGTTCACTAAAGCCTTGGGTTCTCCCAGCTGACCTTGCAGCTCTGTGCTCGGTCCCGGCTCTTCCTGGCCTGCAAACATCCGCCAGCTCCACGCCTGCCCCGTGGAGCCAGGAGAGCGGAGGAAGCGCGCGGCGAGGGAACTCCACAGCTCCTGCAGCGGGTGCTCGTGGCAGGGATCCTTCCCCTCCTGCGAGTCAAAGGAAACGCTGTACCTAAACACAGCCGGTACCTTTATCTGCTTTTACCCTTCTTAGGCATGAGCTGGAGCCAGTCCAGGGTTGCAGAGTATTTGACCAAAACAACCGTACCTCGGGTCAGCTGCAGGGATGTACACGTCGCAGCCTCACGGCCACCTTCCGCTATGAGGCATGCGAGGATTTCCTTCCACTGTGTTGGCCTGGCAGTTTGCAAACATTAACATTGTCTGAGCTTTACCTTGACCGAGAAAAACAACTTTCATCAGCAAAGCTGTATTTATTTGTTGCCAAAAGAGGATATCCTTCCAGTCCCATTATATACTGGCCACCTGCTGGGGACCTACCAAGAGTTTCAGGCTTCTGTTCACCCAAGAACTGACATTAACTCCTCCTAGGCTACAGAGGAGCCTGATTGAGAACATGCAGCACCTTCCCGATGTGTGCAGTCCTCTCTCCTCCCGGACCATAAAGGATGTTTTTCATTTCAAGTTTCAGACGCATGAGCTCAGCCAGCTGGATGTTTGGTCAGGTATCACACCTGGGCTCCTTCCCGAGCACACAAATCTGTGAAACACGTTTCTGTCCGTGCTGTAACCTCACTCCACACGCTGGTGTAAGGGAACTGACTTCTCACTGCCTGGGAGCGCCCAGCTGCAGGCATTGTCCTTTGCTGAGAAATCTCAGACCCCAGGACAGCAGCACAGGAGCTCACTGAGAGCAGCAGCTTGAAGAAGTCGGAGCTGACAGCAGCCGGGTGGCAGCCACCCTCAGCAAGCACAAGCTCCAGAGCTGTCATGTGAAAGTCATCGCCCTGCCCCAAAGCAGCAGCCCTACAAAACAGCCCTCTGAACGCCTCCGTGCCCCCCCACAGACCTCCTTCCTTCCCTCTCACGTGTGCCCTCTGCACCCACAGCACACCAAGCGCGGTGGAGGCTCACCCAGAACTGAAGCCACATCGTGCTACCCCCCCCAGGAAGTGGGCACTGCCCTGACCCCAACTAATTGGCATCAGCTAATTGAGAAGCCTGGCCCTTTGGAGAGGAGACAGCAGGCGTGACACAGCCTCTCAGGCGAGGGAGCTGAGTGCCCCCAGTTTGTGTCATCACACCACTCCTTCGTTAAAAGGTTCTCGCTCTTGGGCTGCGTCAGGTGAGCGGGCAGGGAGAACTGAAATATGAAAAAAATAAAAAACAAGCAAAATGCTTGCTCAGGAGCTTGCTGCCACGGCTTTACCAAAGCACAGGCTGCCTGCCCTGCTGCTGCTGCTCCACAAGCACGTGCTGGGTGAGCTGCCTCTCACCACCGTGCTCAGCACCTCCTCGGCAGCCCCATCCCAAACTGCACACACCAGTAACGTGTGGGCACGACCCTCCATTGCTAACCACGTCCCTCGTCCCAGGAGATACGGTCTGTAAAAGGGCAAAACGGGACAAGGCGCTAAGCACATTAGCGCTGCAGAACTCAGCAAAGAGGAATCCATGTGGCTGGGCCCCGGCCAAGCTGTTTTCTGGAATGCTGAGCTCTCGCTGCGCTGCCTGCTCGGTACCGCTCCCTCTGCTCAGGCTCCACCATAGGATGGCAGCGTGTGGGCCCACCCGGCCAGCTCACGGAGAAGAAGCCGCAGTATTCAATAATAGTGCCCTAGGACACCTCCAGGTATGATGGATGGACACAGTTTCCCATTGCATAAAAACTAAACGAATAACTCCGACTCATTAATTAACATCAGCGCTTGCCAGACATTATGCAAGGAGATTTGAGGGTCCCAAAACTTCTCCCTTTAACCCTTTAAAAGGACATGGCAGACAGAGCAGGTTGCTGCTTATTTTACAAGTTCCCCCGGTGGGCACTGCCCTCTTTTTTTTCCTGTAGGATAACAGCAAAGCTCCCTTCACACACAGCTGGCACGGAGGGCTCAGTGGAAGACCCTCATTTTACCAAGAGCCCCACATCTCGCACGCAGCCCAAAGCCCAGGCGCTGGTGGAACAAGCTGTGCAGATGGAAACAATTATTTCGGAGGGGAAGAACTCCTGCATGCACACAGCAACGTCTCGCTAAAACCGAAGCCTCCCACCAACACATTCCAGACTCCTGGAGTAATCTGCTTTGGGGAATATGCTTCTAGCTGCATCAGCTTTTGTATTTCTTTCTCCAAACCTTTTTGCAATCACAAAACGCGCTCCCCTGCGAGCTGACCTAACGGTCTTACCGAACTGCAAATACCAGAAAGCATTACAAACACCTCAACCTAAAACCCAGAGCTTTCAGAGATTTCAGACGAGCTTTTTCACTACACGACTCACCTGGAAGGACTCAGGCACATGCCTAACGATGCTCTGAATGACCACCTGAAGTCTACAGCATAAAGCACACGGGTCGTGTCTGATATGCAGATGGGTTTCCTCAGCAATCATTTTCCTGTCCTATTTAACACTCACAGACCAGTGGAACTCACGCTCCTGCCTGGCACTGGTTAGCTGAAGGCTAACTTCTGAGTTAAGAAATCAAGTGGCTTATATAAATCAAAGTCACGTTCCTTAGAAAGGCACAGCATTACGGAAAGGAGCACCACAGACTGATTAGAAACATCTAATTAAGGGCAAGCCTTTCAAGTTGGTTACATGAAGCATATTTCACGTAATACATCGCACGATTAAAAATAACTCCAGCAGGTTTCAATTAAGAATCAATGCCATATGGAATTTACATCTGCAACAGGAAAGCTCCAACACCATGTCACAGCTAAGACATTTTTATGTCTCCAAACTGAAAGCACTTAAACTGCCTGGAGTTTGGCACGTGGGCCAAAACATCCCAAAACGAGCAAAAGTTTTGCTGAACTGAGAGCCTAAAAGCCATACAGAGCTAGAACATACAGCATCCTTGGTCATGCATTGTGATCCCCAAGTTTCAAAGGATTAAGAAAAGCTAAGAGTGCTTAGCATTTCCACTCCTAACCCTTAGCTCCCTCCTCACCCCACCAGAACAGAGGGACCCAGCGCAAGCCACACTGGTCACAAACTATCACAACAGCACTGCTCCCTGTACTCGGAGGAAGCATTATTTTTCTTCACGGCAAGCTGGACCCTTACCTGTTTTGATTTATATTGCTTTGACAAGGATGTGATCGAGCATCCAACTACTCAAAGGTGCTGAGAACTGGAAGCCAACATTCACGGGTTTTTCCTTTCAGTGGCAAAAACACCACCTCAAAAAAAGAAACACACACACACAAAACTACCACCACCACAAAAAAACCCCTCAAGTTTCCTGATTACACCCAGCACTGAGCTGCTGCGCCCTCTTGGGGCACGAAGCACGACGAGCCAATTCTCAAGCACTGTTTTTCTACACGCAGCTGGACATAAGAACCCCAATTTCTCTTCACTCAAACCAGATGTCAGCCCAGTTAAATCATCCCATGACTCCTCCAGGAGAAGACTGTAAACAGCCCCAGCGCAGCACGCAGCCCAGCTGGCCCTACGAGGCCCTGCCGACAAGGCAGCACAGCGCGCTGCAGTGCCTTATCCCAAAGCGCTCTGACACATAGCTTTTGGGACGTGTTTATTATCTGCATCCATCAAAACACATTACTTCATCCCAGTTTGCACTGAGTTAGAGTTTGGGTCTTTTAGCAGTTTCTTCCAGAGTTTAGAGCTCAGCAGAGAGCAAAACCGATTTCTAAGTTTTTCAACTTAGAAAGCTTCCTAGTAGACACTTATCCAGTCCCATTCTATAAAATGCCTGCAAAGTAAATGCTTTACAAATAAGAATGGAAAAAAAATAAAGATTAATTAATGTTCAACACAGCTACATTATAGCATTACAGTTCAGCATACGCACAGGCAGGCTGCTCTATCTCCCATGATGCCTAACCCCAGACAAAAGAACCACCGAAACACAGCTGGGAAAGGCAACTCGGGCAGAAGCAGCTACCTCTGCTGCTGCGCTCAGAGCTCCTCCAGGCTTTGGTAGCAAGATCTGTGCTTGCTGCAGCACAGGAACACTCTGGGACAAAGGCTGCTGAGTGCACATGAGAAATGGTGCTTTACCCCAGCTGAACGGACCTCACAGGTGAATTAAATCCACAATTACAGAGAAGCCTTCATTTTAAAGAAGCCTCTACTTGCAATCACTGCAAGCAAGCATGCACTGGAAGAAGCTCTGCAACCACACAAGGGTCTGCAGGCTCTAATGCTGCTACTAATGCCACAAAAGCAGCTTTTGTATGCAGCACCTAGGAGAAACCAAAGCACAAATTCACCGGTGCCGTTCGGGTACTTGCAGACTGCCACCAGGTAGCTGTGAGGTCGCGCTGTGTTCACACCGTGGGCTCCCAGTGCCCCACTTTGACCGGCTCCAGGGCACGCGTTGCAGGCAGACTCTCAGACAGAAAAAAGTCTTAACAAAGACAAACGCAAGGTTCAGAGCAAGTCCCCACCTTTGTAGCTCTGGGCCCATTCTCCAGTCTGGGTTCGTGCATCACTGACCCCTAGCAAAAACCACAGTCCCGAAACAGAGCCAAAACTGCTTTCCGTATTACTTTTAGCAGAGCCCACACACAGAAGCTTTATTTCTAATACCCAAATATTCAATCATGCGGCATTTCCCACAGCTCAGAGAGAGGAAAAGCAGGAGAAGCCAGCAGCGCCGTGCCATAGCTGTGGTACCAGGGGACTCGGTGTGAGCCACTAATCCTCACAGGCTGCTCGGGCAGGCTCCGCACGCTGGCACCGACCTCGCTGCCAGGACAGGGAACCCAAGCAACAGCCCGGCCAGGCTGCAGCTATTCCAGGCGCTTACACAGACCGAAAGCTGCCCTGGACACCCACCTTGGCACCAGCAGGCTTTAAACCATCACCGTGCCACCCAACAAGCGGCGATGCCCCCCAGACCCCCGCTCAGTTACCCACACCCTCGGTTTATCTCCCCCTTCGCTGGGCTGGCCGCAGCACGGCATTTTTAACTCGGAGCTCTCCGGGTTGGGAACCGCCTGGGGATGAAGCCGCGAGGGTTTCTCAGCAGATAGCGGAGCACCGAGCCCTGCAGGCGGGAGGCACCCCCAGCGAGCCCCCCCTGATCCTGGGGAGAAGCCCCGGGACCCCCCCAGCACCACCCTCGGACCCGTCCCCGCTTCCCCCGAGCGTTACCCGCAGGCTCCCGCTGCCCCCGCGCCGTCCCCTCAGGCGGCCGCGGCTCCTCCCCGCCCCGCAGCCCGGCCTCGGGCGGCGCCTTTCCCGCCCCGGGGCGGCCTCGCCGCGGCACCTGCCCGGCCCCCGGCCCCTCAGCGCCTCAGGGAGAGTCCCGGGCCCTGGGCGGTCCCCGGGATGAGGAGATGGTTTGGGGGGTTCTCAGAGAGCGGCGGGGAATGGCTTTTGTTTTGTTTTTCTTTCTAAATAAAGGAGGCGCTCGCGTAAAGATCGTGAGGAAACGGTTTTTATTTAAAAGCACGGGTAAACGCTCGGTGTGTGGACCTCAAGGGACGGAGAGGGAAAAATAAGCAGCCATAAGGCGCGCTGCGTAATTAGTATGGGTTAGTAAAACAGCCTGCCCATGCAGGGCTGCGGAGGGACGTGTTTACAGCGGGAGCAGAGACAAATGTTTTCTCAAGTGGCAGTGTGTTTTGTGGGGTATGACTCCCTATTTTTAACACTTCTTTTGGAAAGAGTCTGTTGAACGTGTGCCTCAACACACAGAGCAAATAGCTGTGCTCTTTATGGACTGGATAAACCTTCAGGGAACAAACCCGTACCTTATCCCTGTCCTGCCCGTTTACTTGTGGCCCCACCAACTGGTAGAATCGAGCTGTTTCACTGACCACCCATCTAACCTTACATCTGCTTGTCAGACGCGCTGAAAGTGTATACTCCGGATAGAAGCAAAGGAAATGCATGCTCTGCATCCACTGAGGGCTTTATTTCTTAAGTGGAGGTGGACTTGCTTCGTGTGTTAGAACTGAGCATTGAAAAAGGTGTTTCCTACTCTGAGAACACCCAAGTTAGAGATCAGTAAAGTTCTGATTGCGGTACAAGTAAAATATTCACTGGACTATATTGCATTTAAGATCCAGTAATAACTGCTGAGAGTTATTACCTTGTTCTTACTGGCTTCAAATCAGTTAGTGGTGATAAACAGAAGGTATCAGTAGTGTCAGAGGGGAGTTTGGTCATTGTAAAAGTGACTCATCCTTCTCTGAAGTGGGAATGTAGCAGAATACATATTCAAGCACCAGACAAGATGCTACTGGCTATGGTCCATTTAATATACAGCCACTCAATACTGTATAACCCCCCTCTGCCATTCTGTAGTAGCTTTCACTGACGCTGGAAAGGATTGCTGCCAATGGTCTCAGGACTACCTTTTTCATTTCCACCCTGAGGTGGTTCTCTGAGCTTCATCAGCATTCCAGTTTTCTTGAATCTCATCCCCAAGACTGAAGTTAACAGCCTTCTGCTTTCAAGCTTCAAGGAGCCTAGGATTTTCATAGCATTGTCACCCAGTAAATCAAAAAGCTGAGTGACAGGGACAATCAGAGAGGATGGCAGCAGTTGAATCCTCAGGACATTAGAGATCTGGAGCAAGTGGCTGAGAAAATTCCAGATGAGAGAAGAAATCATGGTGCACAACAGCTGGTGAAGAAAAAGGGAAAGAACTGTCATGACAATGATATTTTCATTAAGAGGTTCAGTTTTCAGTAGGATATAAATGGTGTGGGACCATAACTGCTTCCTTCTCTTGTCCACCCAACGAACTAACAAGCCCTTTGCTGTCATTATGTCATCTGAGGGACAAGTTTAAACTCCAGTTCTTCAGACTGCTCTGTTCAAGCTGATACGTGCATTTGTGAAGATCTGTAGGAGAACCAAATGGTGCTCTGACCAAGCCTGGGCTCATTCTTAGCATTTTTCCCTCTATTTTTAAAGCAACAATAATGGGGAAAAAAAAAATCTTACCACTATCTGATTCTGTATTGCCTTGGTGATGCTAGTGAAGTCAAAAATACCTTGACTTGAGATATTCCTGATTCCATGCTAGAGGTCAGCTTCAAGGCGTGGTTAGTCAAACAGCTACAGCAATTTAAGATGATAGCAGTCCTTAACTATTCTAGCCTAATAAAGCAGCCAGCAAAGCTGGTAGAAGTAAATGTGGGTAACTCTGAAGCTGTAATTCAAAAATCCAAGCAACAGAAATGAGTAGACAGGACTGAACAGTGACAGTGGAGGCAGAGACCAGCTTTTCCTTCCGAGCCCCTTCTGCAAATGCACATACAGTAAAGGAACAGGGAACGAAGACATACAAGACACTTATCTCTAACACTTTCAGATTATCTCTTGGGGTTTGTATGAAGCGTAAAAGGATTGGAACTGCAACATTTGCAAGGGGACTTCTGGCTCCATCTCTTACCAAGAAAGGGAAGAAGCAAGTCTAAGTTTTGTTACATATGCCTTTTAAGAAATCTGAAGCAGCTTTTAAGAATACATAATATCAAAGTTCTCAAACCATGCAAATCAAAGGAGAGTTTCTAGATACAGCTGAGCTAAACCCCTAGTCTTAGAGAAGGCAGCAATTTTCATTGTTTCAAATGCGATTCCCCAGGAGATGCATACATACCTTTAATAATGTATATACACATATTTATATCTGTACAGTCTTGTACTACCTTTAGCTTGGTCTATAACAGGATTCATTCTTACTCAAGAGGCAGAGGGAAAAAAATAAGAACTGAGGCACAAAAGCAGTAGATATGCAAAGAGATAGACTGGTCACGCTACTCACCATCATGATGTTACAAAGAGCACTCTTCTCATTGTGGGAGGATCTTATCTTCTGATTCTGAGACCAGCTGTCTGAAGCTGCAGGGAAAAAAAAAAAAAGTTTGCTTTTGGCTTTTTAGTTTTGAACTTAGAAAAGCAAATCCAGGCCTCATTTTTCCCATAGGCCCACCTGAACATGCATCCTCTTGAAATTCTGTACTGGATGTGTCATTCTGGTTTTCTTCCTCTGCTGGTTCACCTTCAAATTTGGGATCAGGCTCAAACTCATCAGAAGATTGTTTCTTTATTTCTTCTGCAGGGGGTACCTGTTCTACAAACAGATTTTAAAATACCATGTAAAGTATCTGTACATAACATTTTTTGTTCTAGCTAAAAGCCTTGTACCTTCTATCTATGATCTGGACAAGGTTTTCTGAATCCTTTTCACCTGAAATGAAGGATTTCCAAGCCCAGCTAGGCAATAAGAGGCCTGAAGAAGTGTTTGATTTTAACCAACTAGATTGTAACCAGCAACTATCTTAGGGGGGACTAATATAATGCACCAATTGCTTTTTTTTTCCCCACTTATGCCTGATGTAAAGAGGCATAAAATGAGTGGATATAACTTAATTAATCAAAAAGACATTAAAAAGAGCACAGTTCTATTTTGTTCTCTTAAGAGTGATTTAGAAGCACTTTAGAAGGCCTGGTGCCAACAACAGTCATCCCACAGCAAGATATTATAATAGTAAATGCAGTACACATAACCTGAAAATTTCTATTAAGACATGAAAATGTTCCAGAGTTGCTGTGTCCAGACAAAAGCTGATGCCCAAGCACAGCATAAGCATGTGGCAGAGCTACCCCTTACCCGCTCAAAATACGTACATCCTTCTCTTCTGTTTTACAAAAATCAGAAGTAAGCCATGCCTATACTGCTCAGGGTAGTTTTGTACCATTATCACAGCTTCATATGCCTGCGTTCTTTAATTACTGTCATTGCTTATCCACAAGAGCACACTTGAGTGTGTGGAGAAACAGCTAGCAGCAAGCGGAGACTTCTATGAGCATCAGCTACAGGTTAAGCCCAAAAAAATGGGAGCTGAGAGTAAAAACTGCAATGACCACACACATGCAGGACAGGAAGGGAGGGAAAAACATAAGCCTCAGTTGTGGTGAGCGCCTTCTGTTCCACTGCTGCCTGTGGGTCCAAAGGAATTGTTTTCTTGTCATTACTCCTATGGGACCTATTATAGGACTGGTTGCCATTATGCTAAGTAAGAACTGACTGCACCAAGTAGAAGTAAAATTTTATTTCAAGTTTGTTGAAGTCAAGTTTTGTTCTTATTTCCCTTCCTATAGCTGTCCTGCAAAGGCAGAATTGCTGCTTTTGAACATACGATTTATTCCTCAGCTGCAATTGCTTATGCTCCAGGATTAGCAAAACCAGCAAAGCTTTATCCCCAGGAGTACATCAACAAGCCTATTATTAGCCTAAATCAAAGCCTGTAAGTAGTTACTGACATGTTAGAAACAAGAATCAGCAGCAGATCAGAAATAGATGCACAATACACAAATAAATGAAAACTCATGTCCTGTTCCCTTCAAAAACAATTTTAATCTACCTCCACACTACTAAGAGAATCCTTTAACAGCTCCCCAGTAAAGTCTGCTCCCTCCCCTAACCCACAGAGGAGAACTGTATAACACTGGTGTTTGAAAGCATACAAAATTATTGGGTTAGGCTTTTTCTTGTTTTTCTTGGGAGGCAGGGAGGGGAGGAATTTTTTTTTTAATAGAAATATTTACTCATCCTTTACCTTTCATAAATTAAATTATGTTTGAGAAAAAGGGAAAGGAAGAACAGCTGACAGCATTTAGTTTTCTTATAAGCATTTTAACAGAAAAGCATAACAATTTGGATTTGATTTTTCCTATATCACCAATAGTACAAAAAATTATCTAAAAAACTAGCTTTAGTTTCTTTCTGCGATGAGTGGCGTTAGGCTAAAAATAGCACCTAGAATGCTTTAGAGATGAAGTTAATAGATAAAGTCTTTATGCAAAAGCATTTATGCAGTCAACTGCAGAACTTACCTTCATTAAGTAAAAGCTGTAGCCAGAAAATCAGTACGATCAATAGCAATACAAATGGCAAACAAAACCAGAAGAAAAGAAGAGGAAAGGTCAGCTCATTCACCAAAGGAACCAGAGGGTACCTCATTGCTTGCTTCAGGTTACGCTAGGTTTAGAACAGCTTGCTTGTTCCACTTTACTAACTACCTTTTAATAACTCCCGTTGCATCACTGTCTTAATCACAAGAGGACTGCTAATATTCTCAGCATAGATAGCAGAATGGACAGCCCTCTAAGAGCAACGAGGGAATAAAAAGGATTAAGTATGAGCTAAGAAGGAGAAGGGAGAAAACATCTGATTTGATTGTCCTTCCTTCAGCTGGTAATTAAAGGATAAATATTAATTAGAAAGCCTTCAAGGCTTATGTTAAAAATGGCAGTTAAAGGTAAGCTTGTAATTTCTGATATAGGGGAGATAACCAAGCACTTGAACTGCTGCTTGGAACTGGGTAACAAAGGTGACTCTTGAGAAACCAATAAAACAGACTTGCAGAGCTGTTTAGATGATGACTACCAGCTACTTAAAAAATATCTGTCCCAGGCACTCTCATTGGACATGGACCACATATATGTCCCACATTAACATGGACTCTATTTTTAACCTTGTCTGTATCTTTCAATCTGTTAGTGAATCCACCAGGAAAATAAACTTTCATATTTTAATTGACTTTCTGTTTCCCTTCATTCCAAGAACGGCAAGCTAGCATGTCTCATAGGATGCGTCTATATACACATTTCTTAATAAAGAAGTTTAGTAGTAATTGAAGAAGGAGCAGATATATAGCCTTGGTTACTTGATATCACTTCTGCAGCAGTAGACAAACCAGTTAACCTGTCTCTGTTTCTCCCTCAATAAAATAAAACCATTATCTATCACTTACCTTACGGGGGGGGGGGGTTGTTTAGCAAAATTGTTTGTTTGTGTAGCTCTCAGAAAACCTTGGATAAGAGCAGCTATGTAAGTGCACATTATGAATGATTGCATGCATTTAATGTTCTTGCTTGTGTGCATGTGTTTGTTTTCACATAGTAACAGCCCCTTGAAATGAGCCTTTTAATCCAAAGATCTAAATGAACTTTACAAATTCTTATTAGCTCATGTTAATAACAACCCCGTGTGATAAAAGACAGCTATTATACCTACTTTGTGCATTGGGTAAACAAGTGAGAAAAGCCATTAATGACCTGAGCTTCAAGGATGCTAAATATTTGCAGTCCCCATTTCACATAGTGGGAGTTGTTGTAGGTACTTGGCATTTCTGGATGGATGGGATGTTAGTGGTTAATCTACAAATACAATGACAAGAGTGACAGCAAAATCCAGGAGTTTTAGTAGTAGCGCGTTTCTCCTAGTCATAAGTGCATTTAAACTTCAAATGTGCAGAAAATCCCAATGTAAAAGGAAAAAAAAAATAATAATTCAAACTTATTGTAGAATATGAAAACATTTGGATACACAAGTTTAAATTAGAAAGTCTGAAAAGGAAAACAATGACAGAAGACTAACCCAGGCACATCCATTCAACACAGTAGAACGATTAAAGAAAACCCCTGATTCCTCATGCCTACCTTGTTATATCGAGTGGTGCTGTCACCAAAGTGAGAAACTTGAACCTCTCAGGGCATATCCTGGTTCTTCACTAAGCTAATCACTCGCTGCTACATTTTGGGAGAATGGCGTAGTTGTTCCCATTCAGTTTGTGGGTGTTGCAAGCTTGCCTTTGCAGCAGGACACTTTCCATTTTGCACACTTGCCTCTTCCACGAAGGATCAGGGGCACAAATTCAGCAGTAGTCAGTGGAAAGGGAGAGGACATCTCAGCAACAGCTTGCAGCCTTCTGAACGTGGTTCCCTGTTTTGGCAGAAAGAGATGAAAGCTGAACTACAAGGCTTTGAGGAAATGCATGTTACATACGTGTGACTTTCCAAAGGCAGTCCGACACAGGACAGGTAGCACAGGGCAGCTGCTGTCACCTGGATCAGAGCAGCTGTTGGCTCTTCAACTTGAAAAAGGTCAGGCAATTATGTGAAAAGTGTGATTAGATGTTGAGCACACAAATTGGGGAAGTAACACCTGCTGGGAGGGGTTACTATTAGTACCTGACAGATGAATTTTGAAGCTTGTAAGCTACTACTGGTCCTTAACAAAAAGTGATTAATAAAAGCTGAGCTCGAGGGTTCTGCCCTTCAAAGCCTTGAAGTGGCACAGGGCCCTCCAAGCATGGTAATTAGCATTTGGGGGGACAAACGAGCATCTTGGTGGTAATTAGTACCATTACACCTGGTTAGAGGCTGCGTACTCTAACGTAATGCTTCTTTTGCAGCAGGTTATCGTGCCCTGCTGTTAGTTATTGCTGTGTTGGGGTGAGGGTCAGCCGCACCTCAGCTGCCAACCCCGCAACAGTTATGAGGGACACAGCCTGCTCAGAGCCTCACCCAGCTTAACCCCGAGCACCCCTAGAGATAGGGCACCCCCAGCCTTTCGGGACAGCCCCCCTCTGACTGAAAACCCCACAATCTGCCTTTTCGGGCGCCTTCCCGAGGCAGCCCGGCCCCGGAACGACGGGCAGGGCTCGGCGCCGCCGGCCGGAGGCAGCAGCGGGGAGGGCTCAAGATGGCGGCGGGCCGGGTGTTCGCCTTCCGCGACGTGCGCTGGGCCCCGGACCCGGTGCTGGCGCCCAGCCCGGCCGTGCGGAGCCCGCAGCCGGTGCCGCTGGTGATCGACAACGGCTCCTTCCAGACCCGGGCGGGCTGGGCGGCCGCCGACCCCTCCGTCCCCGCCGAGCCCCTGCTGCGGTTCCGCTCGCTGGCGGCTCGTAGCCGGGGAGCCCGCGGCGGAGCCGGAGCCGAGACTCAGGTGGGCAACGACCTGGGCAGCCCCGAGCCGCTGCGCTGGCTGCTCCGCTCGCCCTTCGACCGCAACGTGCCCGTGCAGCTGGAGCTGCAGGAGCTGCTCCTCGACCACGTCTTCCAGCGCCTCGGCGTCTCCTCGCAGGTACCGCCCGGGGGTGCCCGAGGGGAGCCCCCGGTGTGGGGCGCGGCCCCGCAGCCTGCACCCTGCTGTCCCCCCCCGGGTCCCCAGGGTGTTTTCAGCCCCCCGGGGTGGCGATGAGGCGCTGGGTGTGTAAGGGAAGCGGCAGGGGCCGCTGGCAGGGTCCCTTCCAGTTCAGGTGTTGTGGGTGTGTGGCCAGCTCCCGTCCACACCTTAGTGTGTGCCCAGCAGAGCCGTGGCCTGGGCCAGCTCTGGGGCACAAAAGCTTTGCCTAGGGCTGAACTAAGCCCCTGCCAATTCTCAGTCACCTTTTGCCTACTCGTTCCACGGATTTTTCTTCATGTGTACTTTCAACAGTGTATATATGCTTTTAACATCCATTTTTCTCTACTCCTAGGAGTCTGTTCCTTGGCTGAATTAAAACTGAAAACCCTGCTGTAGACAAGCCTTTTTTCCCCATAAGTGCCAGGTGTAATTTAACTTAAGCATTCAGCAGCCTGCAAGTGAAGCGCTTTCTCCTTGCTACTTTGGAGGCGTTGTTGCTGATCTTTAAAAGAGGAGGAAGGATAATTACCTGTGGATTTTCTTTGTCCTTTCATTTGTTTCTTTTCTCTTGTCTCTCACAGGGCTGTGTTGATCATCCCATTGTTCTGACTGAAGCAGTGTGCAATCCGCTGTATTCGAGGCAAATGATGTCAGAGCTCCTCTTCGAATGTTACCAGGTTCCCAAAGTGTCCTATGGTGTGGATAGCTTGTATAGTTTTTACCACAACAGGAGGCAGAACTGGCCCTGCAGTGGTTTGGTGATATCTTCAGGCTATCAGTGTACGCATATTTTGCCAGTCCTAGAAGGCAGGTGAGTTCTTGATGTCTTAAGTACAGTGCAGCCTCTTTGTCAGTCATTGATTTTTATTTTTTTTCAGTGATACAATACCTGTTTCTCTAGCATTCATTGTTGCATTTCCTGCAGAATATGTTCTTATCAGTCTTAATATATAGTGAAGAGGAAAAGCTAGGTCTTCATATCTTGTGAAGTTCTGTTGAATTTTGAATTGAAAAAGCAGTACTGTCCTTGTGCAGAACTTGTTTTTAATTACTATTCATGCGTAGATCCATACTTTCAAATGCAGACAGGGATATCTGTCTTAAGTAAGATCAGGTATTAAAAAGCATATTGAATTTAAAGTAGCTTTGGGACAAAAGAAAGTGTTCTCTGAGATTTCTGCAGTCCTTAAGACTTTGCTCATTCTGATTATGTGGCTGCATTGTTTTTGTGTTTTTTTATTTATTTTTAATTTTTTAACTGTTACTGCTTTATGAGGGGGCTTTATGACATCCAGCAAAGCTTTCAGATTTTCAAAGCTTACACCTGGCCAATTGCAAAGTTTTATAGAGGTTAGAGGGACTACTTATAGTTGCACAGAATCGTAACTTCCCTCCTTAAAATAAAACAATGTCTTTTGTTGCCATAACTGAAATTATCATTTTTAAAGCAGATCCTTTCAGAATGCATCTGCAAACAAAGCAGTGTTTATGGTTATTGCCTGAGAAAAATAACAGATTTTTTTCGGAGAAATGATTCTTAAAATATTACCATGTTAATAATCATCTGTACGCTTGACCGTGTTAAAAACGAATAATGCTGAATGAAGCAGGAGGTCTGTTTTACAGTGAACTTTTAATCTTTTCAGTTCCATTTGTTTCCCTTGCATTTTCAGGTTGGATGCTAAAAACTGCAAACGTATTAATATTGGAGGGTGTCAGGCAGCTGTGTATCTTCAACGCCTCCTACAGCTGAAATACCCTGGACATTTTGCTGCCATCACTCTCAGTCGCATGGAGGAAATACTTCATGAGCATAGCTACATTGCAGAAGACTATATAGAAGGTAAAAACACTTTATTAATCACAAAATACCCTTCACGGAACCTTAGATCTGAAAACTCGTTGTTCTCAAATTGGCTAGGGTTCAGGCTCAAACGCTCTGCTTCTATTTTGCTTTTCTTATGGGGATCTTTCTTTTAGTCTATTACACAGGAAAAGCTTGTCAACAGTTTCAGAGTTCTGTAGCATTTCATGAAACTAAATTGAATTTTAGAAATCCTTTCCATATTAGGTCAGACTTCTCTGTGAATGATAATAGATTATTGCAGATGAAAATTCCCTCCATTACGGCTGGGAGGAGAGAAGAGACATTAGTGTGCACTTCCCACTTCTTAGTACTTAGTGTTTACTTCACCCTGGAGAACAGAGTGCTAAAAACCATTTGCACTGAGTGTGTGGCTGGAAGGCAGTGATAGAGGTAGCTAAATAAGGGGGTGGCTTCCAAGAGGTGGGCAGGATCCTAGGCTGGACTGTTGTCTTTCTTTGAAGTCTGAACTTAGCATGGAGTGTATACACATGTGAATCACCCTGTTCAACCTGGTAAAATAGTTCCTTTACTCTCAAAACTTTCAGAACTACAGAAGTGGAGGTCCCCGGAGTACTATGAGAACAATGTGCACAAGATGCAGCTGCCTTTTTCTAACAAACTACTGGGAAGCACCCTGACATCCGAGGAGAAGCAGGAGAGGAGACAGCAGCAATTGCGTAGGCTTCAAGAACTCAATGCGCGCCGTAGAGAGGAGAAGCTGCAACTCGACCAAGAAAGGCTGGACAGGCTACTGTATGTACAGGTAACAATGGCAGATTTCTGGGTAGTCATTTGGGAGAAGTGTAGGTTGCTCTCTGAGCTTTACCCAAAGGTTCTGTGTCACTGTAAAGGAGCTGTAACTGTCCTGGGCATTTTCTGATATGTAACTTCAAGGTTACTTGCAGCATAAGAGAAGTTAATTGATGCAGGTGATGCTTGCAGGTTTTGAATAGTACTTTTGTGAAGTATTCTGCTTGCTGTAGGAGCATGCACAGCCATCATTTATTGTAATGAAGGCAGAGTTTATGTACATCCATAGTTGATTTCCACGTGGAGTTCATCACAAGCAGCTCTGATCCGTCTGTAGGAACTTCTAGAAGATGGTCAAATGGATCAATTCCACAAAGCTTTGGTGGAGCTGAACATGGACTCTGCAGAAGAACTTCAATCTTATATCAACAAATTGAGCCTGGCCGTTGAACAAACGAAGCAAAAAATCCTACAGGCAGAAGTCAATATTGAAGTGGATGTCGTGGACAGCAAACCAGAGGTATAACGTTTTCACCATTCTTATCTCTGAGAGAATCAAGTTTGTGCCTTAAAATGTGCCCTTTCTGTAAATAGCTGCATTATTGATGAGCTAAGCTTCTCCTTTAACACACTCCTTGTGAATTGGGCAACTGCTCCTCACTTCCATCTTTCCTATGCAGTTACAGAAAGGGAGTTTTGGTTGTATGCCTGAAATCACTCATCTTGTGCTGCTCATCCCAGATCACTGTGCAGTACCTGATAGCTTGATTCCATGTAACTTTAAGCAGAACACCTAGGCTTCATGGCACTAGTTAAAGTGTTACAGCTATGTTAAATCGTTAAGTTTCCTCAAAGATTTCTTGACTATCTTTAAAAACCTGGGGGTGGAAAAAGGAAAATAGCCCTAAAAGGTAAGATCAGTCTGAAGGTACTGCTCCCTCTGTACTTACTGCTGGCAGCATGTACTGGCCGGTGGCCTTACTTCAGGGTGAGTTGGTTTGGGGGTTGTAAATGCAGCAGGTAACATACCGATCTTGGTCATGCTGCAAACCAATCTGTCTTTACTTTTGCATTGCTTCTGGTGAACTGATTTTTAACGTACCTTAATGATTCTAAGATTCTGGCATACCAGGCCTTACTTTTTTCAGTGTCTGAGAATTAATGATGTGGCATTTTGATTATAACATCTTGAGATTTAAGTACTTACAGGTCAAAAACCATCCTTAAATGTCTGTAGCCTAGTATTAAAGATAGAGAAGAACTATTAAGTTATGTGGTTTTTTTTTTAAATGTTTATGTTCTTTGCTTTTGGGTGCAGGGAACTCCATGCTAAACAGCTAACCCTTTGCTTTTGTTTTGGCTACATTTGGTGCAATTAAGTAGGATGCTTTATTCTTTTAAATTAACAATGAAAGATTAATTGCTAGGTTTGGTTGTTGGAGGTTCCTTGAAGAAGAGAAGCATATTTGTCTGCTTTGCCAGGCTAACACAGGCCCAGTACATACCAGTTCTAAAACATTGTCTAAGACTGCTTGTATGTTCACCTTTCAAGTTGTATAAAACCTTTATAGTTTTATTAGCCTTTCCTTAGGAAAAGGTAGAGAAGAAAACATAAAAATGAAGGATAGAGGTGAGTGATGCCAGATGGAGTTCTTGTGTTTTATTTAGCAGTTGAGACATAGCCAAAACTAGCTGGTGAGCTGGTTTCTTCTGGGTGCTGCTTCCCCTATCCTTATCAGGAAAGTTTGTGTAAGAATCAGGAGGACTGTATCTGAGCAAAATGGAGGTAGATCATGGGTTTTACACTTGTCTTCTGTCAAAAGAAAACATTGTAGAAAGAGACGAGCAGCTCCTTGTGACTTTGCCAGGTGGTTGTGCCCATGTCCCAACATGTCCGTTTTGGATCCCACACTCCTCCTGTTTGCTAAGTGTAGTCTCAGACCTTAAATTAATTGGCAAGCCTTTCTGATCATTTTGCACTTTGTGAAAAAATGTACTATTATCACCAAATCCCTTTGTGAAGATAGGCTGGCTCTCCTATATGTATAGGCTGTATAAAGGAGACTAAAAGCTAATTATTCTGTCCCAGGGTCTGTGCCAACTCTTCAGCTGAGTTCTGTTTTTTCCTGTTGCTTTTTTCTTTTTTTTTTTTTTTGTGGGCAGGGGGTTAGAAGACAAAAAAAAAAATGGAGACAACTTCAGGTGACTACTGTTTGCTGTAACAATCAATACAGCTTGAACTTCAGTGTTGAGTAGCTGCTTGTTTTTTAAATGAGGTAAACTTCAGAAGGCTTAAATGATCTAGTTGTATCCCATGCTGGCATTACTTGCTAAATGTTGCAACAGATTTTTGTTTAAAAAAGGTAAAATGACAAAACCAAACCCTCAGCAATAAAATCCAAAAGCTATTTCATTAAAATACAGAAATAAATGAAATAACGAATTGTCCCTACTTCATAACAGTGCTTTAGTCGTGATACTTCTCATTACAGAGGAGCTTTGGGAGCAGAGGAGCTTCGTGTCTGTGTGAAATGCAGCTTTTTTCAGTGTAGCCCATGTGCAGATGCTAGGCAGTTGAAACTAGGCAACTGTCAAAAACTGTGTGCTAGCTTTGTAGCTAGCAAATATTTGTTTTCCAGTCCCACACAAACAGAGCAGGGAATTAAATGGTAATTAGAGCAGTGAGAGCACCAAGTTTCAACCAACTTAGAGCTATTTTAATACGTTGTTGTACTAGGGAGTACGTTACACTGTACGGCTAGGCTGTGGTCCTGGCAGTCAGCCTGGTGACTAAGACCTTTAATTTCTGAGCTGACCTCAAGATAACTTTTTTGAAAGTGCTTGATTTTTACGCTTTGAGTGAATGTATTTCTTAACACCTCTTTTCTAGGTTGGTCATCCTTCTGTTTTTGTTTTTTTTTTTCCTTCAGTGCTGAAGAACAGCATATTCAGTTTCAAGTGTGTTTTAGAGTTGAGATTGGAGGGAATCTGGGTCGAGTTTTCCAAGTGTCATCAGAATTGAAGTCATGTATGTGCCTACCATATCTGAGCTAACCTTCCACAACCTTCTCTATTTCCAGACCCCTGATTTGGATCCACTGGGCAGTGAACAGTCACTGGAGGATGTGGAAAGTATTAATGAGTTTGAACCTTTATTTGCTGAGGACCAGCCCGAAGCTGAGAAGCCTGTTGCTACAGTACAGGTTTGAATTCTGTATCTACTTCTCATGCCAAAGGTTACTGCCTACTGGTAGTCTAGCTAGTGTGCTAACATTTCTCCAAATACAGACAATGTCTGCTCTTGGGAGAGGTGCTTAACCCTCTGAACAGAACACCAAGAGGAGAAATGTTCTCCATCATAACTGATGGTTTGGGGCATGAATGTGCCCACTCTTATCTCTACAGGCAGTGCATGTTATAGCAGTTCTGTGCTTTTAGGGGGAAAAAGTCCTGCTTAAGTTTGTGTGTGTGTGATCCATAACCCAATATCACATCGCAGTGAACAAAACTTTCATTTGGTACGATTGAGCCATAGAAATGAGTGGCAACAAATTGGGGGGGAGGAATAAGAGAAATCCATTTTCTTTAACCTTTTGTAACCTTTTACAGCATTGTCCTTTCTCTGAGATAATGACTTTTTTTTTGTAAAGCATTGTTTGAAAACTTTAGTTACTATAGGATGTTACTATTTAGCATAATTTTCTAATACTTCTCAATCTTGTTTTTAAAGCCCGTGTTTAACCTGGCAGAGTACCACCAACTCTTTCTTGGCACTGAAAGAATCAGGGCTCCGGAGATTGTCTTCCAGCCCTCCCTGATAGGTGAAGACCAGGCTGGTATAGCAGAAACTATGCAATATGTCCTTGAGAGGTGAGTTTTTGAAGCTAATAGGCATGTTCTTCAAACAGGCTGGTCTTGTTTCAATATCAGCTTTTGCAATACTGGTGGTTACTTAAAAAGAACTTGAGAAATATGTTTGAATAGTTCTTTTCGGTAGGCTTGAGCATTGCAGGTTAGAGATGTCTTTCTGGTCTGAAGGCCACATGTCGCCTCTAAGTCAGTGGTCTCCAAAAATTTTTGATCATGCACCCGTATAGTTTTAAAAAAAAAGGCACAAATCCCCAATATTTGTATATTTATAAATTACAGATATGTGATGCTGTGCTAACATTATAAAACACAATAGAAATTTTAAAAGGATGAAATGTCTTATTAATGCTACAGAAATTAGTTTTAGTCCCCTCAGTGCAGCAAAGATATTGAGTTGATGGAATGCATTCAGAGAAGAGCAGCAAAGCTGGTGAAAGAACAAGGACATAAGGTGTATAAGGAGTGGCTGAGGGAATGGGGTTAGTCTGGAGAAGCAGAAGCTGAGGGAGACCTCATTGCTCTCTTAAACTGCCTGAAAGGAAGTTGTAGGGAGGCGGGTGTTGGCCTCTCTTCTCAGGTGACAACTGATAAGATACAAGGAAACAACCTCCAGTTGTTCCAGGGTAAGTTTAGACTAGATAGTGGGAAGAATTTCCTCGTGGAAAGGCAGTGGGCGTTGGAACAGGCTGCCTGGGGAAGTGGTGGAGTCACCATCCCTGAAGGCATTTAAGAGATGTGTGGATGTGGTGCTCAGGGACTTATTTTGGTGGTGGCCTTCGTAGTGCCTGGTGGATGGTTGGATTTGATTTTAAGGATCTTTTCCAACATAACTGATGCGGTGATACTGTGAAAAATAGTTTCTTCCCACATACCCATGGATTGTCTTGCTCATGTCCCACTTCAGAAAGTACTGGTAAAAGTTGTAGAGGGAAATAAAGAACCCTTGTAAATATCCATCCCCAGAAACAATATGCTAGCAGTATGTTTTGTAAGACCAAAGCCATCTGTGGTGTCTGTAAGGTATGGTTCAGGCACACTTGCTGGACACCTATTTCTGGCCAACTTAATTAACATTAGCAAATGTAACCCCTCAACCTGTGAGAACATGTGAGGTTGCATTTTCTGGGAGGCAAGAATTCCAGATCTGCTGAGTTGTTGATTTATGGGGGTATGGTTCAGAGGACTTTAAAGGTTTTCTTCTGCCACCCCAGGAATTTGTAGAAACCAAATGAGCACAGGGTCTCATGCTGGTGAAGTGAAGGAAATTTCTCAAAGTGAATCTTGAAGGCAAACTATCAGTGTTTTCTCCATAGCTGTTCAGTTTATAGGAATATTGCTCTTGGAAAAGGTTAAGCTCTTTTGTTCCTTGCAGGTATCCAAAGGAGCAACAAGCTATTCTTGTCCAGAATGTCTTTCTCACTGGTGGAAATGCGATGTACCCTGGACTGAAAGCTAGAGTTCAGAAAGAACTCCTCGAAATGAGGCCGTTCCAGTCATCTTTTCAGGTACGTGTACTGACAGATGAACAGACTTCACAAAAACATCATGTGTTAAAAAGTATTCCTGTCTGGGAGAGGTATGGAGTGAGTGTACTTAGAGCATGGGATGGAGAATGTTCCATGACCAGGCATATGACAGCTGCTTTGACTCCGAGAATGATGGTGAAGCAAAGATACAGTTGATGTCTGAATAAGTTATCAAGGGTAGAGTTGCCTTGGAAAAGGACAAGTTCCTTTACCCAAAAGACTGTGCATGCTCAAGCAGGTACATTTGGCTGGAAATCTGCCAATTTGGACAGTTGGCATCTGGAACAAATGGTCTCTGTTAGGGATAGCAGTTGGGACGAACACAGCTCATTTCAAAATGAAGTTATCTGTTTGACTTGTTAAATGTAACAACTGTGGGATAGCAGATAATAGTACCTATCTTACAAACCTATCGTCCTCTGCTACTTTCTCAATAGCACTATCCCAGCTGGGGAAGACCCAGAGCTTGCCATGCGTTTTGTAAAAGCCTCTCTTGCTGGTCTGAAACTAGCTTATGTACCAAAATCTACTACTGTCTCAAATAGCAGATCGCTTTAAGCACAGGAGGAGAAGAAAAGCAGTAAATCTTGTGGCAGTTTGTGGTCCTGTAACAGGTTCTGTAACACTTGCTGTGTGGAGTGACTTTTTGTAGCTCTGAGCAGGGTGTGACTGACAAACTACCATGTACCTGGCAATTTTAGGAAGGATATTGCTTGCTGGTTTGGGGTCCATAGGTTGTCAATGGGAAGAGAATGAGCTGCTTTGAATATCACTATTTCTAACAGAATAAGGATTTCTTTCCATTAAAATATGTTCCATAGTTTGGTTCTGTCAAAAATCTGTCATTTCAGATATTTCATATGGTACTTGCACGGTGTCTAGTCTAGCCTGCCTGTAATTGCAGCAGGAAAGCATTTTAAGCTGCAGTGACAGGAATCACTTAAATAGAAATGGGATCTACACCAGTGGAAAGGACACGTGTGGTCTTTTCCCCACATACTGTGATTTCTTAGCCTGCAGCATTGCTGGAATTCACAATGGAGCACTTGATACTTTTTTTGTGTTACTACCAGGTCCTCCTGTGTTGGCTTCCAGCTGTGAGGGCTGCTGGTTGTGAATGTGATAATACAGGCTTTGTAGTCTGTAGAAACTGCAGTCTCATGGTGAACTGATCTCAAGGTGAAAACATGTCAGATCCTTCCCTAGTGCTCCTTTCAGAAGCACTGAATTATCAGCTGAGACTTCTGAAATTGTGATTTGCATCCTATACTATTCTAACCAGCATAAAAAGGACTTTTCTGTGTTTAGTTTTTAAACAACTCAATATTCTCCTACATTTATTGTTGTGTTTTCCTTCCATCCAGGTTCACCTTGCCTCCAGCCCAATTTTAGATGCCTGGTATGGGGCTAGGGACTGGGCAGTGGAACACATGACCCGTGAGGAAGGCTGGATAACCAGGAAGGACTATGAAGAAAAGGGGGGAGAATATCTCAAGGAACACTGTGCTTCAAACGTTTATGTTCCCATCAGACTTCCAAAGCAAGCCCCACGGACTACAGAGGCACTAGCACCCAGCAGAGCTCTGACATCTAGCACGGGCAATCCTTGTGAGCAGGCGTAGCACAGAGCCTTTGCCACAGCCCCCCAGGGGGAGATAAAAGAGCAAAGAGAAGAGTTCCCTGTGGTCTTGCAGTCTGAGCTGTGCGTGGAGCACAGGCCTCAGCACAAAGCATCTCATCCAGCCCCTTGAAGGGGCAAACGGCCGAGCTGCTCTGGGGCAGCACCTGGCACACGCAGCGCTGCTGCTGCATAGCGCGGGAGGGCGAGTCGGCAAGGAGGAACACAGGAAAAGTGCATTCCGGAGAAAAGTACAGCCTTAGGAACTCTCATAGTAAGACTTCGGGATTTTGCAAATGTTTTATATTTTTTTATTAAAACTTACTGCTTGTATGCCACTTTCGTGGTGTGATTCAGAAGCTCGACTTGTATCATGCAAGGCAGTCCAGCAGGCGTCTCCCTCGCTCGTCACAGCGAGTGCTTCTCAGGCTGTGTCATGCTGCTGGAGGCCAGAGGGGCTGCTCTCTGCCTCCTCCTGAGGCTCCCTGGCCTTGTGTCTTGTCCGATGTCCATCCCGCTGCGTGCTTTCCGCCAAACTTCCCCCAATCAGGGGGATTCTGGATGCTTTATGTGGTTGTTGGTATTACTGACGTTGCTTGAAACTGGAGACCTGACGTAACGTGTGGTCCAGCTGTACAGAAACAGCCCCCCATAAAGCACAGTCCAGAAGGAAGCTGAGGTGCACGTAGTGCTCAGGTGGTTTTACAGGAGTGGTGGCTGAGCAGGGCAGCTCTTGGTTGGGGGGGAATCTCCTCTGCTGCTCTTCAAAAGCTGGCTGGAAGCACCTGTTAGCTGCAAAAAGCTTGCTGGTGTTTCATGATAACACAATCCACTGGCTTCCTCCACTGGAAGCCTCTTGATAGCACATCCCCTGAAACAATCGGTGTCAGCTTCATTGGTGCAAGGCTGGGAAATAAGAGGACTGATGCTGTGTCCCCGCCACGCCTGAGGTGGTCTCAGTGTTGTGATGAATGCTGACACTGATGTATCAGGGTTGACAGCCACTTCAGATGCTCGGATTTGGCATAATAAATCCCTTTTAAATTGCTTGCAGTCTAAGAGTAGATGATGGTCATCAAAAGTCTCTTCATCAGTAAAGCAAACTCTTTGCTTTACCATGGCTGTGTGTGTTTCAGTGGTTTGACCTCTTTAATGACTGCAGGCTGTGAGTGATGGTACGTTGTTGAAAAATGCGGGTTTGAGCCAGGCCCCTGTCCTGCTGCACAGCACTCTCCACCTGAAATTTGACCAGGGATTCAGTTCTCACACTGAACGACTCCCTGTTGCTTTCCCAAAAGAATAATCGATGCTGAACCGAAACCCAAGCAGACTGCAGCAGTTTGGCAAGTAAACCTCTAGTCTGGAAAAGGTAAGACTAGGGGGAAAATATCCAGACCATAATTGGAATAAGGAAAGTAAACAGGTGGTGGCTTGCAGTCCCCGAAGAACTGCAGAGCTCCAAGAGAAGTCATCTGGCAGAGTGAAAACAAAGGATGTGAGGTACTTGGTGCTGAAGCGTGGAGTTTATTGCCACAGGATGCAATACGCACATTGCTGGATTCAGAAAGCATTACTCAGACACCTGACCTTAAGAAAAATCTGCTATCAAACACCGAGGGCACGCCCGTGTGCAGGCAGTCCTGCAGTCATACATGGCTCAGCAGGGGGAAGAGCTGTCACCTGCTCCTGTGTGGTTCCCTGAGCTGGTTGCTCTTCGTAGCCTGGCCCTAGCTGGATGGGGAAGGGAGTTTGCTACCTTCAGATGGCCTCAGATTCGGCCTGCCGCTCTGTCCCCAGCTGCCCGGAGGCCTGCTGCTTTTCAGGAGTATTACGGCAATTCTGCAGGTGTTTAAGGAATGTGGCAGAACGTGCTGTGCTGACAGCAGAAATGTTACACCCCAGCCAAGTGTCTCTTCTGATCTCAGCTCGGGTGGGTGAGCTGCAGTGCAGGCTCTGATGGCCTGTTGCTGTTTGACCCCTCTGACAGTCACGGCAGGAGCAATGCTTGTGGTGCAGAAACTTGTTCTGGCGCTGGGTGCTGTGCAGAAAACTTCCAGCATGGAAACCTGAAAGGGTCTCTGCAGAGGATGGTTACATTGCTTTAAATGTTCGGCCAAATCATTCCAACCACTTTTTTGTGGGAATTCAAAGTCTGATGGAGTAAAGAAATGCCAGATCAGCTGCCTAAACACCTTCAAGGAAGCATAATTTTATCCTGTCCTAAATATTAGCAGTTAATTTGTTACTTTATCCTTGTAGCAGCTGGGGTAATGAATGACCTTGGGCACTACGATTACAGCCAGAAGCTGTGCTAAATATGCCGGTGGTCACTTAATTGCTTGGAGTAGCAATGTGAAAAGCATGGATGTGGCAAAGCAGGATGAATTCTGCCTGTTTTGGGTTTGGTTCCCTGGTACGTTTGCTGTAGTGCTACATGAGCAGTGGCACAGAAGTGGGACGGGGGTGGGATGTTGAGGGCAGGCAGACGCAGCGGTGTTCATGTTGACAGCAGCGTTGGCTGAAGTTCTCCTGGAGCTCCACCACTTGGATGCTTCTGTGCAGGGTTTTCTCGTGCCCGTGCCAGGAGCTGGGTGTCTGTTTTCCATGTAACTGTCACAGGGTTCACCAAACCCAAAGGGGCTTGGAACGTTTCTTCTGTGCAGTGGCTTATGCCACCCTATTCCAGGAAGAGGCCAGGAAAGCACCTCCTCGTCTCTTTTTATTGGGACTTCCGTGGAACTGGAGGAACTGCTACAATGAGAAAACCAGATATTGAAAAGAGTTCTGTGGACAGGAAACCTGAAGTGACGCTGTGAGGGCCTTTGCCAAGCGGTTGTAGAGGTGCCACTGAGTGAGCTGCTGCGTAAGCAGCCCTAAAATCTGTAGGGTGTTTGTCCTCGCCGACAAGTGCAGCCGATCCTGCACGCCGACAAGTGCAGCTGCCAGGTCAGAGGTAGTTGAGAGGTTCACGGTTGGTCCTTAATACCTGAAGTTCAAAGCAAGCTGTAACCTTATTATGCAACCAAGTTATCGCCTAATTGAGGTCAAAGAAGGCAAAAGTACAAGCTGCAATTCGTCAGGCTTGGCGAGCTCGTCTATTTAATGGAAACGAGAACTCAATCTGGGTTCCACCTTTTGCAGGGTCCCTAAGATCTGCTCCGAGTGGAAACACCACGTCAGTGAGGAGCCCTGGAGACCAAACAGAGCACGTGTCTGCTGTCCCAGATTTCCGTTCGAGCCGCATACAAGGGTTGCTTTTGGTCTTGGAGGCTTCTTACATTTCCTACGCCATCACGTCTTCAAACAGTAACCATTCCTTGCTAAATCTCCACTAGGACATCAAGATTAGAGCTTTTTGCTCCAGTTATTAATCTCCAGAAGAGTTAATGTGCTGTGTAAGACAGCATGTCAGAAGAAAGAGAAGATGCCCATGAGCTGTCACTTAAAATTTAGGATTATCCCTCCAGAGGCAGCCTGCAAGGATCCTGTAGCAGCCCATCGTAAGCGAGAAGTTTTGAAGCTTGTGTGGGATGAGCAGGGGAGGGCAGGCTGCTGTAATGGATTTAACATTATCCCCCAAGTCAGATGGTGGGATTTCCACCCCGGTTCGACACGTCAGGCGCAGAGCAGCTGTTCCAAGTCCCATTATTCACTCCCACTGCTTCGTGCGATAGCGAGCCAGTCCCCGAGCATCAGCTTCAACAAAACTGCTCGCTCTTAAAAGGCTCAGGCTGCTGCTTGGTGTGCCAGGGATTCTTCACGCCGCATTTTGTGCCCTCTTTTCAGAGGCTGGGTTTGCTATATTTAGGTGATGCACACCTTTTGCCCCACTTCTTCACGAGCCCAGCCCTAGCTCTTAGGATGGCAAAGTGCCATAAGTTCTTGTTGTTTGTTTGTTTGATTTTAATTGTATTGGGTTTTCTCCATCCATAGGGATCTTTTTTTTTTTCTTTTTGCTTGCAATTTCATAATGCAGTAAAGACCATAATGATAGCGCTACATCAGGAGCCAGGAGACGTGCATTAATTTTCATCTCTATTTACTCCTGACAAGCCAGTTTGTGCTCGTTTGCTTCGACCTTGGTTCTCTGTCTCAGCATCTGTAACAGCAGAATTAACCTGGGAGGCATGCTGGCAGAGACTTTTCACGCGGTGCAAAACTGCAGAAGACTGTAAGAGTGGTGGGAAGGCTGGAAATGGGGCTGTGGGGAATGGGGCTGTGCTCATTTAATGCACATTTAGGCCAGGTGGAAGGTCTTCCAACCGCCCATTGCCTGAAGCCGGGTGAGGCAGGCAGTGGGGTAAGAATCACTCTCTATATATTCTTTTATTCTTAAGCAATTGCTACTGATCACTGTCAGAATATGGAACAAGCCGGATTTATGGGCTGACTCAGAAGCTTTTATGCTCTTAAAATTCCTGGTTTTAGGCAGGACAGGATTTCTTTGCCTATTAATTTATTTCAATAGGGAGGTAAAGTACAAAGCAGCTTCTCCCTTTACCTGTCAGGAAATAAAAGTGACGTGCTGGTGGGGAAAACATCTTTTATGTTGCCAATGGGCTTCCTTGTAGGCATCTGGGTTCCTGCATTTCCAAGAGCTGTGAAATCAGGCTGTTAAATCAAGAGGAAGCTCATCCCCAAAGGATCCTCTGGGCTACAGTTGTGGCAAGTCTGACTGGACTTTACAATATTCGGGTAAAAAATATGGCTTTATTCAAACCTAGGTGACATATATTCCAGAGGAGAGAGACCTTTGGAAAGCATCTGAGCTCTTTGCATTCGGAGGACATGCGCTGGGGTAACAGAGCAGGCGGCCTTTAAACTGGAGCCCTATCACTCAGGTTTTAGGGTTCAAAATGCATCAAACTGCTTGGGAGCAATGAGGTTTGGGCCTCTGGCTGCCATCAGGAAGGCGGCGGTGTGTCGGGTGCCTCCCTCAGGCAAGGGAGCCTTGTGGACCTCTGGGTGCGAGAAGTTCAGGAGGACGCTGGTGATCTGCAGCCCCAAAAGCCTTGGAGCTGCTGTGGTGGCACGTGGGGCTGCTGTGTATGGGCTGTCCTGTGCCCCCGTGCTCAGAAGGGGGGCCGGAGGCTGCTGGCTGAGGCTGATTTCCCACCTCTCTAAATTATCTCCCTCTTTCTGCACCTCTTCCTGCTGAATCCTCCGGGCCCAACCTCGCAGGGGAGGTTGTCCTGACAGAGAGGGGAGGCCGAGGGCTCGCTGCCTCTTCTGAGGCTGGCTGGGAGGCCAGGTCCAGTCTGTAACAGCGGTTTTTGGACAGCCACATCTTTCCCCGAAAGAGTTTGACGTGGAGATTTTGTTCTTTGGGGTGTTCTCGCTCTCTTCAAAGGAGAAG